GAAGATCCTCAGCAAGATGGATTGACACAGTGGCTGCAACAATGGGCTCAAACATAGCAATAATTGTGAGGATGGCACAGGATCAGGCAGTGTTTCGTTCTGCTGTACATAAGGTTGCTATGAGTCGGAACTAACTCAACAGCACCTAACAGCAACCACATACAAATGCCAGTACCCCAAATGTGCTTTGAACTAGTGTTTCTCAATCAAACTGTATGTGCATAACGAATCATCAGAGGATCTTGTTAAAATGCAGATTCTGAATCAGCAAGTCTAGCAGAGGACCTGAGATACTGCATGTCTAACAAGTTCGCAGGAGACGCTGGTTAGGAAAAGAGAATGAGAAAGGTACAATTCACTGAACCTGCAATCTGATAAATAAGTTCACTCTCTCATACTTTGTAGAGTTGGTAAGAAACTGAAAACATAGACATCAGAGATAAAGAAAATTAATCATATCAAATGCCTTATTCCTTTTGGTAAAGCAATGCTTTTAAGAGTAATCCTGCTAAATTATATAAATACCTAAATAAACAAGTTAATATAATAAAAAGGGAAAAGGCTGGGGAAACGTGGTCAAAGTAATCACTGACTATCATATTTTAAGCTAAATAACAGTTCCTTTCTGGGAAATGCTATTGTAGACCTGCGGGGGCAGAGATGGCCTTGTTCCCTTTTCCCCTTCTTGGCAAGAGTGGCTGCTGGCTGCAGGCTCTGATGATGCTGTTGGCTAGTGGAGAATACTGGGGAAGACAGGCTACTCTCAATTTCCACACCCCGCCACCGCCAACAACAAAGCCTATGAATAGCATTCACTTTTTTAAGGCTCCCACACTGGCCATCCCACCTCCATATATTTTTCTTAAATCTTTGATACCTGTTGCTGTCTTTCTTCTGTTTCTTAAGGAACAAGTCAGCAGGTACAAACATGAATAGGTAAGTAGGAAATGGAATACTAGTGGAAAAATTTAGAAGCAGTTGATCATGAGCTTTTAAAATTATTCCTAGTTAATATGCTAGGCCTACTCTATCCAACATGGCAGCCATTAGCCACATGTGGCTCCTGAGCATTGTTGATGTAGCTAGTGTGAAATGAGATGTGTTGTAAGTGCAAAATACACACCAAATTTTGAAGACAGTGTAAAACAAACAAAAAAGCAAAAAGAATGTAAAATATCTCGTTAATGTTTTAGATTGATTACTTGCTGAAAGACAATATTTGGGATGTCATGGATTAAATAAAATATATTATTAAAATTAATTCCACTAGTTTCTTTTTACTTTTTTAAAATGTAGCTACTAGAAATAGGACATAGTTTGCACCTTATTGGGTAGTGTCATATTATGAAGACACATTGCACAGCCTTCTGCCAGCCAATACTGAGAACTCTTGACTTGGTTAGGTGTTGGTGGTCATAGCGAGCCACTACCTCTTGCAAGGGTGTTTACATCTTAATACTTGACTCTTGATCGAAACCAGTGTTTCTCAGCCCTGACGCTACGGTAGAATCACCTGAGACGTTTCAGCGAATGCGATGCCTGGGTCCCACCTGCAGAGTCTGGTGTAAGAGGTGTGGGATGCCTGACAGTCAGGATTTCTAAAAGCAGAGCACCATTGACCTAAAAGAAGGCGTGGTGGACGCGGTCTGTGCAGACAGGTGCCATGATGTTCACAGTGGGGCCAGCTCAGCCTTTCAGTCTTGGTTGGAACTGGAGAAGCAAGTTGTACGAAGGATGTGACAAGTCAGAGCCTGCTTTTTAGCAAGGCTTATAATAGAACAAGAGCATTTTAAACCCTATGGAGCGAGGGAGCCCCTGCCCTGAGAGTCACAGGGGAGAAAGGAGAGGAGAGGAGAGGGGAGGAATGGCGCGGCGTAAGGGGAAGGGGTGGGCCCCGCCAGGGACGCCTTCAAGTGTCAGAGAGATATTTCCCCAGGAAAACGAGGGCTGGGCACAGGGGCACAGACCCCCTCAGTCTCCTCCGCTGCAGGGGCCTGGAGACAGGCGCTGGGGAAGCAGTGCGGCTGGGAATGCGGAGCTGTGGGCCTCGCCCTTGGCCCGAGTACTGAGCCCTTGGCCAGGCTCAGGGAGAAAACATGGCTGGGTGCGGTAGTGCTAATGGGTTTACTCAAGGGGAATACTCAAATTCATGGACATAATAACTTTCTAAATGCCTCTCATGTAGAGCTTCTCAGAATTTAGGCAAATTCCACTTTTGATGAAACGGTTTATTAGAATCAAGTGTCCTCCCCAACTGCCTCTCCTCACTCAGCTTACCCAGGCCAGGGCAGGCCTTGTGGACCACTTTATTCAAATTCTTGAGCCAGACCTGTCTGAATGGTTCTTAACTCCCCATGGCTACTCACCCAGGAAAGTCAGTGTTCATGCAGGAAAAGTTTGTGCCAAATGCCACCTACCTGGATGTTGGAGAAAAATCGATCTTTTTCAAATAACCTGTTTCCGGCCACAAACACCAAATATTTTCTTCCTCCCTCTCTCTTCCTTCTTTTCTTCTGTCTTTATCATCTGCTTATGGCTCTGAAATGTTATGTGAATTTTTTCATATTTCCAAGTTGACTAGGGTTTACTAAATGACAATACCTTAGGTCTCTAATTTACCTTATGAAAATGGTCTGAAAAATGATGATAGTTAGGATTTTACTATCAGATATTGCTGGACAGTTAAAATACTTGCATCCTGGGTGCGTTCCTCTTCACAGCCCTTCGTGAGTCATTTCTCTGACTTCTGGGGAGCACCTGGCAGTGCTGGTAATAAAGCTTGAGATGCCCTGTGGAGCCGAAGCCACATTTGTGAATGAAAGCATTCATGGCCGGGCTTCCGGTCCATCTTATTTTCTTATAGATCTAAAGTTGTAACTACCACACGAACTACAACAGTTTCTATTTCCATTCTGTGTCCCTGAGTGGGGTTATTTGGCAGTGCACACAGCATTGGAAAAAATCCCCTCCTCTGGCCAGCATTCAACTTTTACAACATATTTTTAGATGTGGAAATATTCTCCTCTCCCTCCACCCAGTGTGTATATTTTTACTCCCCTCCTAGTCCTTCCAAACGTCCCTGAAGTCTGTTTCCTGGCAATTTGAGAAGTGAGAAATGTCTGCGTGGGGAAAAAAGTGAAGACACATCTTGTGTTGTAAGTTTAACAGGGAAACATTGCCCAATGGCAGCGCGAAGGCTGTCTTGTGATGGTTTCTTCTGCTCACGTGAACTCTTCCTATTCTGACCTAGCTCTCATACCACCGATGACTGCTCAGGCTGTCTCACATCGCGATGTTCTGACCTGCTTTCAGTTGAGAATGTGCCGATTTTCAAGTATAAAGGGGGCGTAAGAATCTTAATTCGGAGAGTGGGGAGGGCAGCAGTATGGACTGAGCCGTCTTTCAATTCATTGTAAACATAAAAAGCAGACAGTCCACTGAGCCCTCGTTCTGATCCTTAAGTATCCATCCTAACAATGGGCTGGAAAGCCTTTGTGAACTTCCGTTTCCTTCCCTCAGTCAACAGGGACTTACTGAGCACTCACTGCGTGCCAGGCGTGCTTCCAGGCACTGGGAATGTGGCAGGGAAGAAGACAGACTTCCGTCCTCTATTGGTTTTCAGGTATATGTGTTTTCATTTATTACATTTTAAGCACTTGTTCATGCTATTACATTAACCTCTGCAGATCACATTTCAGTGACAGTCCAATTCTCCACTGAGTGGAAGGATCACAGTCCCCTGAGGTGGGACGTTAAAGTTCCTATTTTTTTCTGATTATAAAGCAAAGAGTTCTATAGGTTGGTACATCTGAGAGGATTTGTTCATAGCACAAAATGCTTCATTCAGAAAGGTGTCCATGTTTCTCTTCATTATTTCCTTCTTGTGATATTTTAATCTGACTGCAGTAGGAGGGGAAAAAAATCTCGATTTAGGTACTAAACTGCCTTTAACATCTTCCATTATTACTTTGTAACATGTGATGGTCTCCAAGAAAAGGAGTACCCCAGTTTTAAGGGTCTACAGGCCATCACTGACGCCACCAAGGAGAAGCAAGAGCCAAACTCCATCTGAGACCAAAACAGTCAGAATGGGGGCTGCGATCCAGGGTATCACCCAGGACGCTGGTGTCAAGTGGACGATGGGTTCTCAGGGCACAGAGCAGATATTCAAAACTGTGAATCCGAAATCTGAGCCACCAGAGATTCCTCACGAAGTTGTCTTTTATCATTTCCTCCAGAGCCATGTTTGACTATGACAAGAGCAACGGCAGGGGACTGCCGAGTCAAGGACTTAGTTTTAAATGTAGAGATATTCTCCCTGTTATCAGTGCTCCCATGATGAGTGCTGCCCTCTGCTGATGTGGAAGGAGCTCTGAGCTCTCAGCCTGGGAACTGCATGGGATTGCATAAGGACAAGGGTTGGGGGAATGTGTCTGCAGTCTCAGCTGTGATCTGCTCCAGGTCCAACACAGCAAAGCCTTGTGCTGGAATCCTTTTCGGGTCAGAAGACCATCCTCTCCCCAAGCTCTTTACTTCTTGCCCCATCTCAGTACACAAGCTGCAAAGAGAGTGAGCTTTTCTGTTTAGTTTCTGTAGATTTTCTAACCACAAACCCTGGCTGGGGTTTCAGATATACATGGCATTGTGTGGTGCATGACTATATGCTGGTTCTAAAAGAAAGAAGACAACCCGGGAATATTTCAAAAATTATTTTCACACATGATTATCGTACAATATTACAAAGTATTATGTGCAAAGTTCCACTGAAAAAATTGTTTACAAAAGAAAGTACACACGGTATGTGCTGAGGGTTGCAGAAGTACAGAAAAGCCAAAGCTAAAAAAAGTACAAGGTGCAAAGCCAACCAGAGATGATGACATACCTTTACACACTACAACCACGTGGTTTTACAACTACCTGTGTTACGCTGACACAAGACCCTCACAGTTGTGTGTGCACACAACAGGTTTCGTAAGACACGCACATTGAACTTCCCCCTACATCCCTATACAGCAGACGGGCTTTTTGGTGCCTTTGCAAACTCTTGCCCAAAGAGCATCTTATTGAACTCAAGGAAAGCCACATTCTTGCCCAAACAGCATCTTATTGAACTCAAGGAAAGCCACATTACACGTTACTTGGTTTCTGCCCAAAGCAATTTGATGCTGTTAGTTTTCATTCATGCGGGGAAAAATAAAAAGTGTTATCACTGACCTTTTCTCCTCCTGGGGTTTTTAAAATTGTTTCCCAAAGCAGATAAGATATGGGACAGATTTTGTCCAATCTCATTGCATATTTACAGTATCTGAAGCATATGTGGTTCCTTCGATCTCTTTTTCCTGCTTCCTCCAAAGAGCCTGAACCAGCAGACTACACTCCTCAGTCCTTTCTTAGAGTCTGTATATTCTCTCTCGACCTCTATCTACATTCATTTCTTTCCTTATTTTCAGTGTCATTTGTTTAAAAAACAAAACAGCACAACACCACAGCACATGAACAAGGTAACAGCACGTTGGACTTGTGAAGGCATCCTGGGGCCAGCGTCAGTCACACACTGCTCTCGGAAACCCAGCAGCCTCTCTCCACAGAGTGGCTAAAACATCCAGTTACAGAAGAGAGACTTCTAAAATGCAATACTCTCCAATCCAGCAAGAGGTTTATTTTGAATATTAAATGTTAAAATCACATGCATAATTATAGAATATTTTTAAGTTACAAAAATATTTTAAAAAAACCAATCCTGACAGTTTACCTGCAACTGCTATAAAAATTTCCACGAAATATATAAAAACCCAAAGGCTCTTTGTAAAAATAAAGAGAAAGAAAGAAGGGGAAGGAAAGGATGGAGCCATCCACAGCATTGAGAGCTGTACCTGATGCACTGCATCGGACAGTCTTGTCAAACACCCGTTGGTGAAGTCAAGAGGAGGCTTGTATGTTTACTCAGCACATGTACATATATCTGGGCCAGCACAGAACCTGGTTGGGGGTAGGTAGCAAACAATCCCAGAACACATGAACCATCAAATGCAATCCTCCATCATGAAGGGAGAATCTTGCTGCTTCGGGAGCCTCAGCTGCCTTGCTTGGGCAATGTGCCTGAAGATGCCCTCGGCCAAAGCTGACCTTGCATGGCATAGTCACTCAAGTGCAAAGTCCCCAAGGGCGTGACTGCTTTTCCAGCTCAAGCACGTGGATGCCAGAAGGCCACACTGCTAACCCCCTTGGCTGCACTGCTAGGACATTCCTCACATCTTCTAGGAGGCGGTGAGGTCTTCTTCACCGTTCTGGAAGATGACACCGTAAGGGTCATTCTTGATGCGCTTGTAGACAAAGTGGAAGATGTGGGGCTGTGGCCGGCTGTGCAGCTCAGCCTTGATTTTTTGAGGGTATGTGTCCTCTGCCAGCTGCTGCCAAGTTTCATCAACAAAGAGAAAGAGACTGTACTCCTCAGGGTCCCCCACCTTGAACTTCTCCGCACAGAGCTGGCACACATCCTCGGTGGTGACATAAGGTCTCACCAAGAGAGTTTTTCCCGTGCAGCCACTGCTGACCTCCTGGAATGCAACTCGAAGATAATTCTGCAGAGTAGAAAAAGAGCTGTCAGAGACCGACTGAGGAGAGGCATCCAGAGAAACCAGAGGGATCAGTAAATGGGCATGCTGAGATGCAATGAAGGGTGTAACCAGTGAGCCTCCTCAGGGCCCCGGCTCACCACGGGGCAAGGCCACGGGGACTCAGATTACAAGGAAAAGGGGCTGATCTTAATTTGGACACTGGGGAGGACAGCTATCTGGACTGATTTGCCACATGTCAATTCATTGCAAATATAAAAAGCAGAAAGTCCATTCATCCGTGGGTCTGATCAAAAAGATGGGTTAAGAAATCTCTGGTTAAGAGTGTAAACCAGATCCAGTGCTGATTTCATTCCTTTCTGCCTAACACTTTAAAGGCTGAACACTTTCCAGCTTGAAAAATGAACCAAACAGCCGAGTAGTCTGAAGCAGGAGCCATTCAACATATGTCGACACCACAGCACGTACCGTACTCCTTTTTGGCATACTTCTGCATGAAGCCTAAGCAAGGGCAATAATGGGAGATTCAAACACCAACATTTAACCATCTTTGACCTTCCAAAATGGCAATGTCACGTGGTTCAACCATCTATGTGACTCTGGGAGCCATGTGGCAAAAGTCAGGAGATGTTGATTCTGCCCAGAGAGCTTGGAGATGGAGCTGGTTAGTGCAAGGTGGTGTTGCTGGGAGGTAAAAGGAGAGGTCTGCAGGCTGGGTGCTGTGAATAATGCTGGGTGTGTGCTGTCGTGAAACAGAATAAACTTACGATCTCACGAACAAACAGACACACAAAAGTCCCAGACCAGGCTCAAAGAATCCTAAACTTGTACTCTCCAAGGTTTTGTGAGCTGGATAACTTGTTTCACCTTCTCAGTCTTCATTTTCTTAGGACAGGGTTATCAGATAAAATACAGGATGCCCAGTTACATTTGAATTTTTGATAAAAAACAAATAATTTTTTGTGACCCGTCTTAGCACCCTCCTCAGGAGTGAGGGAGGAGCTGTTCTCTGCCCAGGCCCCCATGTGGTCACCTAGGGTCCACTGGGGTGGCAAAGGGAAAGCTCTTGGGGAAGGACACTGCACTCTGCACACGTGAGCTACGCCTCACATCCTGTCCTACCAAGGACGTCTGCAGAGAGTGAGCTAGAGGAGCACAGGCTCTGAAGCTCTCGAGCGGGAATACTTCAGTGTGCTCCAGGTTCCAGTTTACCATGCTCAGCCCCATGGTGCACTTTGCATATATTTACTCATTTAGCCCTGACCAGAACTCTGTGAAGGAAGGATACATTATCCCTACCAGACCAGTGAAGAAACGGAGGCACAGAGAGGTTAAGTAACTTGCCAAAGGTCACACAGCTAACAAGTGGCAGAGCCATGATCTAGTCTCTGCCACTATAGCCTGCTGCCTCTTCCAGGGTGAGGAAGCATTATCATCTGTGACTTCATATTTAGAAGTCCCTAATGTGGCTCTGTGGCTGAGTTTTTACTTTTGCACACAAGAGTGCACAAAACTCTCCCTTTTTGTTTATATGCTAAAGAGGTGTGCCATCTCTGAGGTGAGCACGGTTAATCGGGGGCGGTGAGGGAGACTACAGGGGCGGGGGTGGGGCAGAAGCAAGTGGCTCTGTGGTGTCTGAGCTCCAGGAGGAAAGAGGTGGGAGATGAAAGAAGAATAAGCTTTTCTCATTTCCTCTTTTCTTCCTCTCAAAGGGTCTATGACCTCAGGAAGCCCGTCCTCAGACAGCCGATAATCATAGTCCAGGGGCCTGTGTCTGCTAAATCGCTTAACTAGGACTATTCTGAAACCCAGGGCGGGGAAGGCACACAGTATGCTCTCTTGGTTTTTAGATTTATGTGCCTGGGATGGAATTTCTGAGAATATGGCAATCTTGTAGAAAAATTTGCTGATCTCGCCATCCAAAGATGGGCTGCTTCTGAACTGAATGTCCCTTTTGATTATTTTCAGAGCACGGGGAAGGTAAAAGGGCAAGGCAGGTGAGCCTGGACACGGAGACAAGGCCACCACACTGTTCCAGTCTCTGCCTGAAAGCACAACCACGTGGCACCCACAACAAAGCACAGACGGGCTTTATGGTCTGATGTAAAACCTTCAGAACATTATCTGAAGATGTGCAGACTTACTCACAATTTTATAGACTATGAGCAAACAGGATTTATTGTGTTTAATAAAGCTCTCTATACCTCTAACCCGCCACTCCTCTCTAGGAAACAATCTCTTTGGGAATTCCACATTCCTGGCCACCGGCTCATGGTTTGCTTATGAAAAGTCTCCACCTGGGCACCTAGACAGGACTTGGCTCCTTCTCAAATTCCCGGCCCTGACTGCTGCCGATTCTGGGCTCTCCTACTTGGGGCTGGGAGAGACAAAGGGGAAGGGGAGAGGGGAAGTCATCCTTGCGCCCCTCCCTCTTCTCAAAGAGACTAGGGCGATGGCAGCACATAACTGCTGCAGTCTCCACTCCACCTTCACACGTCATCTCCTGATGGAATAAAATATCCAACGCCAAGCGCTTCCTCTGTCCTTGTGACTCCCTCCCTGCCCAGGTGCCCAGCATCCAAGCTGGACCTTATGGGAGAAATCCCATCTTAATCTGACTTTGTTTTTTTAAGGGCAGCAAAACTTGGGCAAACCCGTATTTTTTAAACAAAACAGAGAAGTGAAACAACAAGGTCGAGGGTGATTTAAAATATCCCCTTTCCGTTGGATGACTCAACAAAGGGGGACACGGGGGGCCCTGTGTTCTGCTGTGCGAGCCAGCTCTGGGTTCTGGCCACACAAGGAAGCAGAGTGGGCACCCCTCCTCCCAGCTCTGTACCTGGAAGTCGTCCACAGACGGGATGGTCCGGTTGGTGGTTCTCCGTCTGTGCCACTGCCGCAGGGTGTCTCTGGTCTCGGAGCTGAGCAGCTGCGCAGCTTGTTCTTCCTGGAAATTCTTTATCAGAGAAAGTGCTCCGTAGGCGCTGGTCAAGTAATAGCCTCCTGGGGAAGGCAGAAAGGGCAAGTTGTCTGAGTTTCACACACAGTTAGAGGCCACATTTTGTATTTTCTGCATCTATTCCACAAGCACTTCCTTGTGGGATCACAGAAGCACACACATAAGAGTGCGTCATTCATTCATCCATTCATTCATTTGCCCAACATAGACGCCAACAGATCTACCGGCTCTAGTTGTTCTTGACTTTTTGTTTTAGGGATTAATATGTTCTAAATTTTAGGTAAACTATATACTTTGAAAGAGTTGCAGCATACACAAGCATGTTCACAAAAATATGAGTAATTCAAAACAAGTTCTCCCTCTTGCTTCCCTTTCTTACCCTTACTTTGGGACTAACGTAATATGACATTTAGAAAAAAATAATTTACAAGGAAAAGCAAGAGATGTAATGTCCCTTGTGAGTTTAGAAATGATTTCTTGTGTTCTCAGGGAGCGTTAAATACTCACAACACTATGCAATGCACCACATATTTATTTGTTCATAATTTTGTCCTAAAATATAATTAAGTGCCTTTGAAGGAACTTGTAAGCTCTGTGCCAGAGAACCACAACGGGGCACCCCAAATGTTTACAGTCCTCCCTTGGTATGCACGGGGATTGGTTCCAGGACCCCCCACAGATACCAAAATCTGCAGATGCTCAAGTGCCCTATATAAAATGGTTAGTATTTGCATATAACCTACGCACATCATCCCATATACTTTAAATCATCTCTAGATTACTTATAAAACCTAATACAATGTAAATGTTATGTGAATAGTCATTATACTGTATTGTTTAGGGAATAATGATGAGAAAGAAAAAGCCTGTACACGTTCAGTACAGACACAACCATCGTAGGGTGCACACAACACAAAGTAGCGAGCTAACAAGATGCCAGGCAAACAATGCTCAAATATCAAGTGCTGGAGAGAGATTCGGGTCTGTGAAATGGCAGGAGGCTACAGCAGGGGATGCCTACACATCACTTAATTTGTGTGGATTCAGCATAATAGTGTTTGGCGTGCGGCAAATTCTAGTTTTGCTTTTTGGAACTTTCTTTTTTTTTGAATATTTTCGATCCTTGATTGGTTGAATCCAAGGATGCAGAACCCATGGATACAGAGGGTTGACTGTATTTAAATACATAATTGAGGATAGCAAATTATAAATTTAGAGACATTCTTTGTCAAAATACCTATTGAATCTCTACTATTATGCCGAAACAGGAAGAGAGCAGGCTGGGTTTAGAAGAAATAGAATCTGAGCCTCTGCTCTCCACAAGTTTATAGTTTTATTAAAGAAAATAGGCATTGGTGATTTATTCACCCAGAGACGAATAGATAAATAGCTGTGCTTAAATGAATTTTATGCAATAGTATCATTTTCACAGGCAAAGTATTCAATTGCTAATGAAGACGCTGCAGAACTCTCTCTGCTCAACAACTGGAAACATTCAAGATGAGCACTGCTCCCCCAGCTGGGTCCTGAGCAAAGCCCCCTGCTAACTCACAAGGGACATGCAACTTGAGAGAGAAAAACACCTTTATTGTTTTCTCGTCACTGATATTTGGGGTTATTTGTTACTGCAGCATAACCTAGCCCACCGTGAGCAATACACTTCCAGTGCATGTATGACATGTCAAGGTTGTTATTTAGAGATATCTGAATAGTTTTCCGGACCCCACCATCTCATTGGGAGCCCCCACAGTGCCTAGTATGGAGTTTTGAATTGTTGATCTTTACTAAATATTTGTCGCATGAACATAACAGCATGTGACTGAGTGTGAAACTGAGCAGTACAGAATTTAAATGCTGCATTTCAAGAGAAATCAATATGGACTTGAATATTCAAGAAAGTCTCCACAGAGATGTCAATATTTGAGCTAAAACTTGGAGGACAGTTACAATTGAGTGGGAGGGGTTTCTTTTTGACATCAAATTTTAGTCTCCATAGCTCTGATCTGTTCAGGCCACTAAGGAGAAAACTCAAAATGCCAGAAGCACAAAATGTACCACACTTTGAAACACATGGATGCAATTAGAGCAAGGTTTTAAATTTCAGCAAAACTATAACCTCACCGCAAGAGCCATGCACTTAAAAGGGATTGTATGATGCCCTTTCCGTAAAAGAAAATACCTGCTTAAACAGCATAACGGAGATGTGGGCTGCTGGCCGGCAAACCAGAGGGCTTTGGGTTGGCCACGGAAGGATTAGGTCTGCATCATGTCTCCACTGCTCAGCAGCCCCTTCCTCTGGCCTGCACAGCTTCCGTTAGATGATGTGCAGGCCTGGTCTCTAACCACCACTAACCCGCCAGGACTGCCTGCTCTCCTAAGGAGGGAGGCCAAGAAGCTAGAGACACAGTTAAATGAAAGCAGGCTAAACCAAACTGATGCAAGAGGAAACAGAAAGTCTCAACAGACCCATAACAAGTGCAGAGACTGAATCAGTGATCAAAAACCTCCCCACAAAAAAAAAAAAAGTTCCAGACCAGATGACTTCATTAGGGAATTCTACCGAACATTTAGAGAAGATTGACACCAATTCTGTTTAAACTCTTTCAAAAAAGAGAGGAGGAAGAAATACTCCCTAACTCTTCTTATTACATCAGCATTACCCTTATACCAAAGCCAGACAGAGACAAGAAAACTACAGGTCAATAACCCTTATGAATACAGATGCAAAAATCCTCAACAAAATATTCGCAAACAATATCCAACAGCATATTACAAGAGTCATACACCACAACCAAGTGGGGTTTATTCCAGGAATGCAGGGATAGTTCAATATTAGAAAATCAATCAATGTAATACACCACATCAACAGAACAGAAGAAAAGAACCACAACACCATCTCTATGGATGCAGAAAAAGCATTTGATAAAATCCAACAAAATTTCTTAATAAAAACCCTCAAGAAGATTAGAACAGAAGGGAAATTCCTCAATATGATTCAGGGCATATATGAAAAGCCAACAGACAACATTATACTTAATTGAGAAAGACTAAGAGCTTTCCCCTTGAAACAGGGAACAAGACAAGGGTGCCCACTCTTATCACTTCTATTCGATATTGTATTAGAAGCCCTAGCCAGAGCACTAAAACAAGAAAAAGAAATGAAAGATATCCACATTAGAAAAGAAGTAAAATTATCTCCATTCATGGATGACATGATCCTATATATAGAAAATCTCAAGAAGTCCACAAGAAAACTTCTAGAGCTAATAAGAGGAATTTAAAAAATTTCAGGGGACAAGATTAATGAACAAAAATAAGTTCTTTTTCTATACACCAGCAATGAGAAATCTAAAAGGGAAATTAGGAAATGATCCCATTTACAGTAACATCTAAAAGAATAAAATACCTAGGAATAAATTTATCCAAGGACGTAAAAGACTTATACAAGGAAAATTATAAAACGCTGCTGAAAGAGATTAAAGAAGAATTAAATAAATGGAAAAATGATCCATATTCATGGATTGGAAGACTTAATAGTTTTAAGATGTCAATACTACCTAAAATTATTATAGATTCAATGCCATCCTGATTAGTATTCCAACAGCCTTCTTTAGAGAAATAGAAAAACCAATCTTCAACTTTCTATGGAATGGCAAGGGGCCCCAGATAGCTAAAGCAATGTTGAAAGAGAAGAACAAACTAGGAGAACTCACACTTCCTGATTTTAAAACATATTACACAGCTACAGTAATCAAAACAGCCTGGTACTGGTATAACAATAGACACACAGACCAATGGAAAGAACTGACAGTCTAGAAAAAAACCCACACATCTATGGTCAATTGATTTTTGACAAGGGTGCCAAGTCCACTTGATGGGGAAAGTAGAGTCTCTCCAATAAATGGTGCTGGGAAAATTGAATTTCCACATGCAGAAAAAAGAAACAGGATCCATGCCTCAACCATACACAGATTGAAAATGGATTAAAGACCTAAATGTGAAAACTAAAACCCTAAGATTCTTAGAAGAAAATGCAGGGGTAATGCAGCTGGGCCTAGCTTTTAACAATGGATTATCTAATATAATAACAAAAGCACAAACAGAGAAAGACAAAATAAATCAATGGGATCTCATAAAAATTAAAAACTTTTATTCACCAAAAGGCTTTACCAAAAAAGTGAAAAGTCATGCTATCGACTGGAAAATATCTTCAGAAATCATATATCCAATAAGAAACTAATAACCAAAATATACATAAAACTTAAAACTTAACAACAAAATGGCAAATAACCCCATCAAAAAATGGGCAAAGGACTTGAATAGACATTTCATCAAACAGGACATTCAAATGGCCACCAAACACATGAAAAGATGCTCCACGTCATTAGCTATCAGAGAGATGCAAATCAAAACCACAATGAGATACCATGACACTCCCACTAGGATAGCTAAGATTAAAAAAACAGAAAATAACAAATGTTGGTGAGGATGTGGGAAAATTGGAACGCTTATCCATTGCTGGTGGGAATGCAAAATGGTACAACCATTGTAGAAAAAAGTGTGGCAGTTCATCAAAAACTAAAAATAGAACTACCACACGATCCAGCTATTCTACTCCTAGGTATAGACTCAAAAGGCTTGAAAACAGAGACTCAAACAGATACTTGTACACTTATGTTCATTGTTCAAACCACCTGAATGCCCATCAATGGCTGAATGGATAAACAAAATGGGGTACATACATAAAATGGAATACTATGTAGCACATAAGAGAAATAAAGTCTTGATACATGCTACAATACGGATGGAGCATGAAGACATTATGCTGAGTGAAATAAGTTAATTAAAAAAGGACAAATATTGGATGACTTCACTTATATATAAAGATAGGAAAAGGCAAATGTATACAAACCAAAGTTTCTTAGTGGTTACCAGCGGTGGGTGGCAGGGGGAAAAGGGGAAGTATTGAGTAGTGAGTTTCAGTTTATGGTGATGGAAAAATTGCATTGATTAAGGGTAGGGTTGCAGAGCCAATTAATATAATTGCTGTCAATAAGTTGTACAAATGTAAAAAGTTGAATTGGCAAAAGTTGTGTGATAGATATATTTACAACAATGAGGAAAAAAAATTGCTGAGACTGTTTATCTACAACCAAACACCTCATGGGATTTGGTTCCTTGGTTTGGAGGTTTAGGGTCATGGTTTCATAGGACATTCTAGTTCATCGGCCTAGTAACGTGTTTAGTGCTTCTGTTCTACCTTGTAGTTTGTTGCATAGTGCCTGGGGTCTTAAACGCTTGCAAGCAGCCATCCAGGCACAACAATTGGTCTCTATCCACCTGGAGTAACAGAGGAAAAAGGAGAGTCAGGAATGGGGGAGGAAATGGAATGTGTGGCTAATTGCCTCCATGAACAACTGCCTCCTTTGCCATGAGACCAGAAGAACTGGATGGTGTCCAGTTACCATTAGTGAACATTTTTACCAAGGATTCTACAGAGGAATCCTCTTCAAAAGGGGGAAACTTCATAACAGAATTTCAAATTCTTATGGACTCTAGACTTTCTGGAGTCATGGAGGGTGGATGAACCCCTGAAGCTACTGCCCTGAGATAATCTTTAAACCTTAAACCAAAAATATCCCCTGAAGTCTTCCTTAAAAACAGTTTAGCTTACTTAACTAGTAAAGAATGTCTGCCTCTGAGCACTGTACTCTTTTAGGATCTATCTATATGGGATCAAACTGACACCAGCACCTTGAAAGATTAGACAGGAAACTTAGGGGACAGTGAGCTTATGATAATGGTAGAGGAACTCAGAAAAGGAGGGTGAGGATGGTTGCACAACTTGAAGAATATAATCAATGTCAATGAATCGTACATGCAGAAACTGTTGGACTGGTGTATGTTCTGCTGTGTATATTCTCAGCAACAACAATAAAAAAATAAAATAAATTATTTAAAAAAAGAAAGCAGCCTCCAGTTTAAGAATGAGCTGATCGGCTGCTTTGTGTGTTCACTAGTTGTGTGATTGTCTTTCTCTCTCACTTGTGAATCCAGAGATCAAGATGCCACCATCTGCCCATACCGTAATCAACAGTGTCCAGAGCAGTGTCTTACTCTAGGGGACACTTACAAAGTTGGCAGGAAGTGGTGGCCTCTACCTTGGACCCTAGTGTTTGTCCTAAATATACATTGTCAGCCACAGAATGGTACTTGTCTGAGTCCTACATACTCATTACCAGAATTAAACATGATTGAGACTGAAAAAAAAAATCGTAATTGAGTATAATATTGTAGTAATAGTATGGTAGAAGGAAGTAAAGCATGGCATGGAGACTAACATATGCTTCTCGGTCCCTGGACAAAACCTGTCCAATCCCAGGGGAGAAAAGGCATGGAAAGATACGGGGGTCTTGGTAGTTCCTCATGGAGAGTCTGGCTCCATGGTTACGGGGATTGGTGTGAGGAGATAAACAGGCGAGAGGGTGGAGGATGAAAGCGGCTGGTGTGTGTGCCTCACCAGTCCTGAGTCAGCACTGCCCCTGGAGGGGTGGGCTTCATGACGCCCTGATGGAAAAGGGGGCCGGTCAGAGGAAAACCAAGGTCCTGTGTACTCAGGCTGGAGAACAGAGGAGGCTGAGGGGAATCCAAGGAGCCCTGGTGCCGCAGTGGTTAAAGTGCTTGGCTGCTAACCAAAAAAAGTCAGTGGTTTGAACACACTGGCCGCTTCATGGGAGAAAGACGTGGCAGTCTGCTTCTGTACAGATTACAGCCTTGGAAACCCTATGGGGCAGTTCTACTTTGTCCTACAGGGTCGCTGTGACTCGACAGCAGTGGGTTTGGGTTTTGGACGGGAATCTGGGGGAGGAGGGGAGTACATTTAGGTTCCCTCCAAGAAGTGGTCTATTTTCAGGGAAAAGGTTGGCATGACCTATTCCCTGGGGTAGGGGGACCTTTTTACTCAAGCCTAGACTATATTCACTGGAGAAGAAACTCAGCGCAACAATACTGCTGGCACAGGTCCACCCTGGCGGGTGTGCAAGAACAGATGGACTGACAGGTCCCAGCGCGGAGCCTCTGGCCTGCGCTCGCTGAAAACGGCAAACATGCAAGACAGTCTCAGTTATTTTGGTTTTTCAAGGCTGTGCACTACAGTGCCAGACATCCAGAGGATTTCCATGATAAACTGCGTAACTCATGTGTAAGGAGAAGGAATTTCTGCAAAGACACTTGGGGGTTAGCCAGATGCAAGAAGGAAATTCAACAGCCAAGATAAACTGAAAGCAAACCCCCTACGTTTTTCTTCACTGTATTTTTTATCTTAGCAATGAGCAGGTGCCGTTTTTAAATAGAAAAAGAAAATTCAATGCTCTTTTCATTTTGAAAATGAAATTAAAAAAATAAAGAAGAAAACAAAAGCTAGATATTCATCTGTATCACTGATATAACAGCAGGGTATTTTTCTGGTGTGGGAACTGTTCTCTAACAAAAGTTTATAGCTTCCCTTGGGATCAAAGAAACAATTTCTTTTTTCTTAAATGGGCTTTATTGTGATGAATGCTGTTTTTATTGCAATTCACCAATCTCGATGAAATATAATTACGGCAGGTTTCCATTTTTTCCTTTGTGTTTCTCCAGCTTTTCCAAATGTTCTGTGATAATATCTCTTACATTTGTAATCGTTTAAAAAATCAGCACAAGTGATTTTTTAAAAACTGCAGTTAACCCTTAAGATGTCAAAAAAAAAAAAAGCACCCAGCTCCTCCTACTTTTTAAAAAGCACTTTTACCTTCTCCGTGCAACAGTGATGGGTCTAAGAGCTCCATCATGTACTCAATTTCCGTGTCCAGTTCAAGCATGTCACACTGAGCTATGACATAGGTCAGTACTGGCAAGAAGTCGTCAGCTCCATACATCCTCCCTGGGATTAGAAGGAGAGGAGAAGATTTGAATATTTTTATCAACGTTTCTTTCTTTCATATCCTACTTGCCGCTTTTATTAGCTGGTGAGGAGTCATTCTGGGGAAATGTGCTATTTATAAACAGAGGTGGGTGTTTCTGAAATTCTGTGTAGCATGACAACCTTCCAGCTGCTCTTTTCTTTGACCAGCCCTAATTTACAATTTCCGAATGAATGTCTTTGAGTACATTATTAGCACATTAAACATATTCTTTCCATGTTCAGATTTGCATCAGGTTATGCAACAGAACAGAGTACTTTTAAATATTTTAACTTTCAGAAACATTGTAAAACATTTACAAAATATTTATTATGCTAATTCTTTGTGCCTTGTTTGCAATTGCTTTCTGTGCAAATTAATCATAAACATAATAATTAATAAGACCAAACACAAGCTGTGAATAAACTTTATATTCAGTTGAGCACACAGTTACGTGTGCCAATTTAGAATATGTTGAATGTACAGACTGATTTATTAATCAATATATATTTGCAACATATGGCAAAAAAATTTTAGTCCTTATGTCTAGTTTTCTTTACAGCAGCGTTCTCAACTGGGAGGGACTGGACGTCTGAGGACATTTTTGGTCATCACGCCTGGAGGGTGGGGCTGCAAATGGCATCCAGGATGCTGCTAAACTGCCAGCTACGCACAGGACTGCCTCCGCAGCAAAGCATCTGGAACCCTGCCTTAGAAGAACATACCCCTGGGCAGATATTTTTGGCAACTTTTACAAATGATTTCACGAACTACAGAAAACATAATTTGCTGTATATGAAATGTGCTTGCAAATCTCAGAGGCACCGTTCCTGAGCTTTCAGTGCCAGCGCAAGAGCTCACATTTGAATATCATCACTCAGTACTTTGTTAAAGGCACCCATTTTCCTATCTATTAAAGCAGTGGTTCACAGAGCCTTGTAATCTCTCTGCTACTTCCCCATAAAACAACCTCACTTGAAGGAAAAGCTGCTAACAGCCCACGGAATTACAACAGGCTCGCTGACGATCTGGAGCAATGCGGGGCTCAATCAACATCCATGAATTATGGCTACTCCTGCAGCTACAGGAAGCGGCACGGGGGAGATCTGAGTGCTTAGTTTCCAACTTTCTCTTTGGTGAATTCCAATTACACTCTTCACTTTGTAGTGAAGCGCGGAGAGCCCAGAGCACTAAGGACACAGTATTATTCCTGGACGTGCCAGGTTTCTGACACATGCTGTAAATCACTGATGTGACCCTCCTTGGCCAAAATGTAACAATAATAGCTACCATTTCCATTGTGCTTGGTGCTGTGCATGCACTGACTCATCTAACCTCCACCTTATGAAGGGCAGTGTCACATCCGATAGATGCAAAACTGCAGCTTCGAAGGCTCATTAACATGGCGCAAGTCAGTTAATCAAGTAATTCACAGAGCTAAGGATGTGACTGATCTCAGGCTCTAGAGACTGGATTTGTAACCACTACCCTGAACTAAATGTTTTTTCTAAATTTTTCATTAAATTGGCATCGTACAAAAACCTTGCGGCCCTCATCCATTTACTTTATTTGGGGTTATTTATGTGCTGCTCTGTCCCGCAGGGTCGCTATGAGTCGGAATCGACTCGATGACACCTAACAACAAAAACGTATGTTGAGGAGCCCTGGTGGCACAGTGGTGAAGTGCTTGGCTGCTAACTGAAAGGCTGGTGGTTCGAACCCACCAGCTGCTCTGTGGGAGAAAGATGTGACAGTCTGCTTCCATAAAAATTACAGCCTTGGAAACCCTATGGGGCCGTTCTACTCTGTCCTATAGGGTCGCCATGAATTGGAATTCACTTGATGACATCAGCTTTGTTTTTTGGGTTTATTTAGGTTTTGCATATGAGTAATTTGCCAGACACCAGAGTAACACTGCTATTTTTGTGAGCTGCTTGTGCAATCAAGAGACTGAGGGGAAGAGAAGTTGGGAATCAGAAAACCTAACATGCCTTGGCCCAGTCAATAGCCCGCGGGAGCAGCAGCAAAGAGCCAGGAGTGTGGCCACCTCACCTGAGTTGTTCCCCATGACAGTGTAGATGAGTTTGCAGACCCTCAGCAGCAGCATAACTTTCTTTTCTGGTGAATACATCTTCTGCATGGTCATGAATTTGACCTTGATTTTCTCCACATCCACAAAATCAGGGGTCGGGGCAAAGACTCCCAGCTCCTGCGGGTTCCTCTGCCGTACCAGCTGCAGGTTATCCTTCAGCTGTTTCCAGGAGCCGTCAGCCATGTGGAAGTCCTTCAGCATGGCCTCCACGTGCCCCTTCAAGGGCTTCAAGATGCACTTGTGCATGGCCTTTTCCAGCACCACATCTGCCAAAGAAAGTGCAGCTACTATGATCATTGTCTGAAGAAAGAAGAAACAAATGCATGGTCTGCTTTCTCAGAACGGGTGTTGGAAATACCTGTTCACTGGTTATAGGACACACAAGCTATAACTAAACACTCAACTAGCAAAGAAAACTTACAGGCCCTAACACTCACATCCCAAGACGTTTTTCTGGAAAGCCAGGAAAAAAATTCTTAGTTTCTCTTGTAGACAATGATTAATTCTAAAAAATTCTTAGTTTCTCTTGTACACAATAAATACAATTAAATACATTTGCTTTAACTACTTTTACCATCCTTCCCCCTCTCATATGTACAGGCAAATATTCTAGAAGACAGTCTTCTTTTCACCTAATCCAAGGAAAGCAAATATGTGATCTTAAAGCAAGGATTTTCTATTAGTGAGGGTTCAAGACCCCTTAAAATATTTGCTGATAAATAAATGCAACTAAATGCATCATGTGATCTTGGACTGGATTCTGGACCCTCACCCCCCAAATATTTTTTCATTTTTTTCCCAGTAAGGATTCTACTGGGACTGCTTGTGAGATTTCAGCAGTCTGTAGACTAGATAATAGTAATGTGTCAGTGAACTTTATGGGTTTCATAACTTTGCTAGAGTTATGTAAGAGAATGCCCCTCTTTTCAGGAAATATACACTGAAGTGTTTAAGATAAACAGGCATGATGTCTGCAACTTATTCTCAGATGATCTGGAGAAGAAAAGTACGTGTGAATGTATGCATGTGTGCAAACAGAAAGGATGAAGCAAATGTGGCAAAGTGCTAACATTTGGGAAATCTGGGTGAAGGATAGACACAATTTCTTTGTATTATTTTTGCAACTTTTCTGTGAGTCTGAAATGATTTCAAAATAAAAAAGTTAAAAAAGAATTTTGAAATGTATTTCTGTTCAGAATTAGGAAACCCCTTTAGGCGAAGAAGGCATTATCTTCCCTCCTTCTTTGCATGGCTGCATCTGTACAATGAATAGCTTTCTGGGCTGACACTAAAATGATGGATACCATAAACCCAGAGATCCAGAATTTAAGATGATTTATACAGTGACAAGCTCTCTGTTTTTGCAATATCAGTTTTTCAATCTCAACTGTTTGCAAGTTCTTATCATAGATACCAGGGTTCTTCCTTAGCAACTACACTTAATGTATGAAATTTTAAGGTGATTCCATTTTGAAAGCCGTGAATCCGCATACTTCAAGATCAGAAATAGTTAAATGATCTCTCTAGCCTTTGGTATCCCTAACACAGGGTCAGAGCTTATTGAATCAGAAGTATTATGTACTGTTAGAAGGCCAGGGACAAAATGAAATCCAAGCCAGATGCACAAACACCTAAAACAATCTTCCTGTACCCCAAAGCTAAAGCTGACGCAAAAGTTAATGCAGATCTCACAATGACCAGCTTCCCAGTCCAAGTTTCTCTTTGCTCCTCTGCCTCCATATCCTACCCAGGTGGACTCTTTGTTTAAATACAGAGGCTTATATAACTATAGGGGAAACAAAAGGGGTTGTAAAGTAAAAAGAGAAACAAAACAATGTATTCACTTCATGTCTGGCACTGAAACAAATTACTTGGTTTGCATTGGTTTTTCTGTTCATAAACTCGTGCAATTTTGTGCAAACAACCTTGGCTTTACCCTACACAGCCATTACAATGAACAGCCAACAGTAGCAATTATTATTGTGCACTCCCAATGGGCTAGGCTCTATGTTAAGTGCTTTATTTCATTATCTTATCGAATCCTTGCGACAACACAATTATCTTTCCATAATACTAATATTATGCCGATTTTACAGATGAGGAAATTGGGGCTCAGAGAAGTCTAATGGTTTGTTATAGCCACAGTCCCCATAACTATTTTAAACAACCATTCATACTACTTTTCAAAGTAAATGACCTTTTAATTCTAAAGTTTATAAACACTTTATAAACATTCATCAGTTTAGCCCTCTCTATCCAAAGATTCTGAAAGTTATACTCATAGTTGTAAGTGGCTACTACTCTGTTAGAATGGGGCTTCCAAGGAGGGATGAAAGTCATGGTAATCATTTATTAGGAAGGTACATCAATGTTCAAAGCAGCATTATTCATAATAGTCAAAGCCTGGAAACGGCCTAAAAATGTATCTGAATAGAATGGCTATTTGGGATATATTTATACAATGGAATGTTGTTGTTGTTGCTAGGCTATGATTCCCAGTATTGTGTAGTTGTCCACCATTTTGTGATCTGATGTGATTATCTTATGTATTGTAACTCCTAACCTCTATAATGTCAATGAGGCAGGATTAGAGATAGTTATGTTAATGAGGCAGGACTCAATCTACAGGATTAGGCTGTATCTTGAGTCAATCTCTTTTGAGATATAAAAGAAAGAAGTGAGCAGAGAGGAGAGCAACCTCATGCCGCCAAGAAAGAAGTGCTAGGAGCAGACTACGTCCTTTGGACCTGGAGTGCCTAAGCTGAGAAGCTCCTAGACCAGGGGAAGATTGATGACAAGGACCTTCCCCCAGAACCAACAGAGGGAGAAAGCCTTCCCTGGGAGCTGGCACCCTGCATTAGGACTTCTAGCCTCCTAGACTGTGAGAGAATAAATTTCTCTTTGTTAAAGCCATCCACTTGTAGTATTTCTGTTACAGCAGCACTAGATAACCAAGACACGCCTGAAGACCCGGTCTGGGATTTTCACCCTGAATACCAGGGGAAAGTTTTAACTTGCTAGAAGGTGCCTGGCTGCTGCTGGACTAGGGTGTTAATACAAGTCACCTCCAAATGGTGTGCACAGTTACTGGGGGACAACAGCAGAAAGCTCCTCATCGAGCAGTCATGGGCTCCCTCGTGCAACTCACCTGTGTTGCCAGGGAAGTGGGTACCAGCCTTTGCCCCAAACCCACCCTTAGGCATAATTAGTGACGTCCAATCTGTTAGGAGGGTTGAAGCCTGGGACCAACTGCCAAGTGAGTAGCCCATTCTCTTAAAACCCAAAATGAAAAAAAAAAATTACTCATATTAGAATTTTATTTTAGTCTATTTTTTAAGGCTATAATTTTAAAATAAGAAAGATTGGTCCCTTTGCATTCCTTTTCAGGGCTTTATCTCTATGCCTCTCCCTTCCAAAATCCTTAATAAACTGAAGAAATAGAAAAAAGTCCAAATGAAAGGAGGGAACCATGACCCAGTTGGCTCTTACCAAGAGGAAAACAAGGTTCTGCCCGTAAAGCAAGAGGGAAAAGTGATTTGAAGAAACAAAAGGAACAGAGAATCTTTCAAAATGTGGACTAGCTCAGACAAAAACAGAAAGAACAGACTGGTCACATTGCTTACGTATGACTTTTTGTTGTTTCCTATTATGTCTGGTCGATGTAATTCCAATAAAACAAAACAAAATATTTTAAATAGTAAGAACCATGACATCTACTGTGCACTTTACATGCATTGCCTCTTCAAATCCTCTAACAAACCCCAACAAGTAAGGGTTGTTATGATCCCATTTATAGATAAGGCAACTGAGACCCAAAGATCAGTGTCACATGGCTAGCAACAGGGGGAGCTAAGATTTGAACCCAAAAATCTCGCCTCAGATTTCTTGGAGTGATATCAATTGTATTCAACCACAAACCTACAAACAGCACACAGAAACTTCTACAACATAGTACTGGGACTTAAAAAAAAAATAAAACGGGGAAGATGATTATATGCTTTTTATTTTTTAGGGCTCATTAATGTCTTTTCTATCTTTCTAATGACAAGAAGCATGCTACAGAATTGTTTGAGCTACAACATTTAGAATTTGAGAAACCAAATGTTAGCCATACTAGCCGAATGGCCAAATCAGGGAACAGTTTCTGGAAATATCTGTATAGATCTTATCAGGAGGTCACCAAGTTCATACACAGAGGGAAGTGGTAAAGGAAACGGCAGTTGTTTGGGTTCCCTTGCCATAACATTGCTTAGTGTAGTGATTTATAAGAAGTGGTAATGGCGTTGGTTTCTAGAGCTGCAAGAAGGGATTCACTTGCCCTATTAATGGAAGGCAGAGCCTTGTCCCCCTACTTCACTCTGACCAACAGCTTAGATTCTAGGGAAGAGCTGCAGGGATCGACAGGGAGCCCAAGTGACTGGAAAATGCTCCAGCTTGCTTTGTGTAGTGTCTGCTCACCCAGGCTTGGCTATGGGGAAGTGACAGCCCAAGAGGCAAAGGTGAAATTCGGAGAAGGCATGTGTGTCTTAGAAAGCGCAGGGGAGCCGTGCACTGCAGCCAGCTGGGCTCTGTCTATGTGACTGGCTGTGCAGGCTTTATTAAGCCAGTCATCACTGTGGGCATCTGGAGCTCAGTCCTGCTGGGAACTCCAGGCACAGCGTGGAGCATCCCACCTGGAGGAGAGGTATTCACACATCTATCCCTGCAGTCGCTGGTTGAAGGCTGCTTCTGAAGGCTGGGGAGGGCGCTAATCCCCCAGCCTTTCTTGCCTCCCTGTCCAAGGATTCTGGTGGCGTGAGGACATGTCAGGCAAAACGGCACAGGTGCTGGCAACTGGAAATCAGACTGTGTGCAAAGAAAAGAAGTGTCAGGGACATGGAAGGGCACAGTTGACGCTCTGTACTTGGGATTGCCAATGGCTTAAGTCAAAAAAGCCCAGGCCTGGCTTTCAGAGGACTTGCTGTCAAGGGGAGATGTCCAGTTGGCTCTATGTCACGGCAGAGGTGATGAAGAATGCTGGGGAAGCAGGAAATGGCAAGAACCATGTGGCAGGAAAGCTTCATCAGAACCCACACTGGGAAAGGCAAATGTATAGGCTGTATTTATGTAGTATTTTATTCAAGGAATCTGTCTGACTGATTCCAGTGCCTTCCAGTAAAAAGCTTTACTAGTAGGGGAGAAAAGGCAAAACTTCCCTACAAAATTCCAAATAATTTATGTAGATCCTCTCCCCTCCAGAACGTGAAGCTGAATTCTCCCCCATCCT